ATTTTAATGGTGGTCAGAAAAGAGAATGCTTTGAGTACCCTGTTCTTACTTGTATCACTGTTAGCTTCATAAAGCTCTTCCACAGGAAGAAAAGAAGGAAACCTGAAAGACAGTGATTGCTGGCTGCCTTCAGTAACTCATTCAATCTTTTTCATAATCAAAGAGGGAGGGGACACCAAGTTATATTGAAAGGCAGGGTAGTTCTTCACATTACAGGTTCATTGCCATGGATTATTTTGAGCTTTAAGTAAATGTTATGCAGGAGGCTGCATGGAATCATTTGGTTTGGTCAAATCCTTTCAGATCAATCAAATTACAGACTGAAAAAATATGACTTGCTGGGTCTAAATGCTCGTAGTGATAAAAGCTTTTGCACTGATAGTTACCTTCTCTCGCAGACTGCAGTCTTGCCCAATGTATGACTGCACAAACAAATGAAAGATGAAAGTTCTTACACTTTCACTGATGGTAAAAATCGAAACCAAAATAAACTATTTTGAGTGTTCAGAGCATGTCTATAGGGTCCTCTGTTGGGCACGTAATCAGATGTATATTAATAGGCAGTGGGTCAGTATGGATGCATTTCTTTCCTGTGCTAGCAAGCTTGTGCAGCAGTTCTGCTGGATTCTTCTGTTTGGTTTTATTTTTTTCTTTTTGGGGACAAATTTCAGGGTTCCCCAAGGGATAATAAAAATGCGGAAAGGGAATCATAATGGATTCAGTTTTGTCCTAATCAAACTGCAATGGCACTGTGTGGTTTACTTGCATTCAGCTGAGCGTGATAAGAGCAAGGTGATGCAGCTGAGTCCCAGAGACGGCTTCCTCCAGGCAGCTCATGAGACAGCGGGATGGTGGAAAAACATCAGTCACTTTCTGTCTACATGACATTGATTAATTGTTCAGAACTGCCTTTCTGTTACTTGGTTGCACTGCTGTTGTTTGCTTCAGCCCTCAGAAAAGACTGTTTAGAGAGGCAAATTTAATGTGGTTACTGCATAAGAAACAGCTGAGGAAAAAATTGAATGCTTCATTTCATTAGCTGCCTTTACAGAGTCTCAGGGTTCTGTTCTATAAAGTCCGCTATAATTTATGAAATTATATTTGGATTTTTACTTCATTTAATGCATTTATTTGTATTAATGTTTTTAAATTGTAGGATTGCGGTGTGGATTCATGTAAAATGTTGCATTTTGGTTCTCTTAGAGGCTCTCATACTGCATGTTTTAAAATAGAGTGTTAAAATACATCAAATAATTCATTCTGTAGCAGTTCTGAAGATCTGTATGTTCAAAGTAGGTTAAACTTCCTAACTGGAGAGAAGCTATAATGGCCTTTTTTCTTTACCTTGTCCTTCTACCTGGCAAATCTGTCTTTGTTTAAATGATCTGTGAAACCATTTTCAGAATTCTTTGCAAATCACATTATATTATGTAGTCACTTGTGTCTCTAAGCTCTTTGCTTTCGGTTTTGTAATAAGAATATTGAAAAATTCAACTTTTTAACAGAATATAAACAATGGCTTTTAAAATCACAGTAAGTAATGAATAGCTGGAAAATACGTTGGATCCAGTGAGGCGGAAAAGCAGTAACAGTGGTTGTGACTGGTGTGAGGGATAAAGATGAATGGGGCAAAGGAGGCCTAGTGAAAGAGTGGCAGAGAACTTACTGCCGTACACTGACATCATGCCCACCTATAATGTGTTTAGTAGAATCATCTGCTTAGGTGTAGTTCTTGTGGTTTAACAATGATGACATGAATTGGCTTAGCAATGGGCTTCCTAAACATTTACTAGTATAACTTAAATTGCAGGTCTTATTAAGGACTGAAAATAAATTTAAATTAGTGTGTGTTTGTTTTTTTTCTAGTAACCACAAGCAGCAATCTTCACAAAAACATAATGAAACCAGAGATAACAGCTTAATAAGCTCATTAAAAGCAAGACTAAAAAGCCTGTATAGGTAATATTTCCTTGCAGTATGAGACAACATCAGTAATTGTGGATTTTTTTTTTTCCTTCAGGTAGTAGAATATTCACTGAGTGTGTAGTTTCCTAAAGATAGAAAGAATGCAGTGTGTATGTTCATCACCAAGCCAGAGCCAGGCAGTAGGAACAGAATTTGTCATTCCAGAGCTTTTGCAATGACATGTAAGTTGCGTAAAAGTTTGAGCTGTAACTGACCTTTTGAGTATCTGGCTGAAGGTCACCAAGGAAGATATCCTGATTCTTGTAGTCCCCCAATTTGTTTTTGAAGATAGAGGTCCTCCAGCTTCAAAATCAGTCTCTTTCTGGGGCATGTCATTTCAGGTACTTTTAATTGAAAAAGTTCATGCCATTGGCTTAAAGTTCTATTTTATTTTGTCTCTTGTAAATATGGTGTTATTTTAAAAATTCATATATTGTCAGATTTAAAACTTTAAAATCCCTTCTGCCTTCTGCAGTCCAGGCCATTGAGTTTAACTCTTTTGTAAATAAATGAAATATAAAGTAGTAATGTGAAGACATTTGGGTTCAGCTTCTGGACTGTATCCTGAGCTCTTTTCAAAAGTGTGGTTTAGTTATTTTTGTATGTGACAAGTCTGAAATAATTTCTATGCTAATCTGAGTTTGAGGCAATCTCAGCCCAATGTACTGTAAGTATTTAGGTAGTTCAAAACCCATACAAATCTTGTACTTTTGAACTAATTTCTACTTAAAGGGATGTTGATCTGACTTCAGGTTTTTAGTCTAGATGCCAAAATGAGGAAGCCATTCTTCATACACATATACTTGAAATTGTTGTGTATGTAAATATTCCAAACTCTGAGATGTTTAAAAAGTAATCTTGTCAGACATACGTAACAGTAATACATTCAGTCGTCTATATAACAAAGAAGTTTGCATTTCTAACTAAGTCTGCGGTTCGCTTCCATTTGTTTACCTCTTGATGGTTTTTCTCTTTCCATGAAAGTAAAGACTTGAAGCTGAAATCTTCAAGTACTGTATTTACAGCCACACTAATGATTTTGGAATTTATTAACCTCACTCCAGTATTTAGTGGCAATGATGCAGCCCAGATGTCAGTTGTATATGGTTTAGGGAAATTTATGAAACTCTACCCCATACCTTTGCTCTGCAGAGATCTGAGGCTTTTGTTTAACAAAAAACCAAAAATAGATATGCAAGTCTGGGAGAATCTTATGACACTGCCCAAAGAACATGGAGTTTATTGACTTTCTGTTGGGGCATGGGATGGAGCAAGCAGATAATTAGCAGAATTAGCAAGCAGATTAGCAGAAAGCTAATAAGAAAACTAAATTCTCTCTAACATCCTCCTGTACTACCTTTTCATTAAATTTGTGTTTAAAACTCAAAAATATGAATATCATTAATTAAAGCAGTTCTTTAAGTATCTGGAAATTGAAGCTAATAGTAAATTCTATGACTAGCTGAAATCGGCTATGGATTTATGGATTCAGTTTGTGTGACTTCTACATGACAGATACAAACTTGTGAGTCTTGTCTTAAATTTATGTAGCATGAATCAGTTCCTGGAGCACCTAATATCTGTAAATGTAGTTTTCTGCTGTCGTCTTACAAGGATCTTGGATGCAGATAAAAAAGAAATTAAGAACAGCTGTGCCTATGGAAAAATAGGCTCATTGGCCCTTTGTTTAGCCCTGTATAAATTTTCAGAAGGTTACATAGCTATAAAAGCTTTTCACATCTTATGCATTGAGTACATTTGCACGATAATAAAATGGATCATGAATTTGGACTTAAAGATCCACAAATAATTTTCTGTATTGTATGTGAAAAGTAAAGCATCTCTTCTTAGAGAGTATATGCAAGTTGGCACAGCGGGTTTAATTTTTGTCCTCATCTATTTCAGAATCTGAAAGTGCTTTTTAAAAGCTAGAACAGACTTTTGACTTATGTAAAGAATAAATGTGGAAGAACTTGATATGGTGTGGAACTGCAGCTACTGTTGGGGTGGAACCAGGTTTAATCAGTGTAGGCTAGAACAAAATACTAAACAGAAACATCAAGGCCTGGAATTTCTCTGGAACAAGCTTTTGCTTAAATTTAGTAATAGCAAAAGCAAGAGTTGTGCCTCTCTAGATGTCTCTCAGCTCTTTCCTTCTGTATCAAAGTGTCCTCTCAGATTTTAGCTGAAGCACATATATGCCAAGTGTTACGGTCAAGATAGCCTGATAGTTTTTAAAACAAAGCTTGTTATTAATAATATATATACTTGAAATGGTGTTAAGATTTCTGTGTTAATGTTAAATGAAATATAGCACAAATACAAACTACATGGCATATGTAGTAGGAAGTGGTATAAGTTTTTGTGGTTACTTGGTTTCACTCCAATTTGATAGTAGTGATGTGTTTAAATTCAGGAGCTCAGCAAAGAAATAATCCAAATTTTGTGGATTAATGGTTTTTCTTTTTTTAATACTGCTTTATTATTGCTAATGGTTTGCTTACTTCATGAATGGAAACCTATGTTCAAGAAGTTAAAGATTTTGTATATATTTCATGAGAACATGAGTTGATATTTGAAGCTCGGAGGTCCGGGGGGAGGGAAGGGGGAGATAGCACAGTGGCACTTAGTATCTGTCCAGCTGAGACTTGTATGTGCCTGGAAATGGTAGGTGGTGATGTGCAGATCCAACTCAACCAGGTACAAAGAGACGTTGATGTTTCCAAGGAATACAGTGGTTTTCCCCAATCACAAGTAAAATAATTGGCATATAAGCTCTTTGGGTGGGTCATCTGAAGTAAAGCATCAGACATAAGTCAATACCTCAGGTTTAACTGCTGTTAGTTTGACTTACATTTGTTGTCAAGACCATTGCTTAGAGCTTTGAAAAGATACAGGAATCCTTTGTAGACTTGTTTAATTCTGATTAATTGGGAACAGCTTGTCATGCAACATAAGGGTATGTAATACATCTTTGCTGTTACTATGCATGATTCAGTAATGTAAACATAGTAATTCCCTTTTTACTTTTGCAGGAGAGGCCCTGAGAGGAAAGATAACGGTCCGCAAAAACAGAAAGGATCCACGGTCCCTCTTTATAACCCTTTCAGTGAAGGACACACAGCAGACCTACAGCCTTCAGTGAAAATTCTGTACATATATATCTGAGAAATTTTAAATGTAAATGTGACATTTAACTGTTGATGACTGTTTCTGAATAGCCAAAAATGGTAAACTCTTGGATTTGTGTATGTATACACACACAAAAGAACATGAAAAGTTTACACAGAATTGAGAGAGTGCTGTTTGGATGCTTTTGTACTGGGACATAGAGACTGACGACAAAATTGGATTCTGCTGTGTTTCACGTGAAAAGAAAAATGGTTTTGGGTTACATGAGACTGCTAGGTGAGAAAAATCAAAGTCTTGTTGTGAGGAGCAATAAATATGATCTCTCAATATTGTTTTATTTTCCAACTGGCAAAATCCTTGTGCTATGTTTTTTTAGGAAAGAGAAGCTAAATCATGTGCCACTTCACCTCAATGGTAGCTGGAAAATCCCAGTGGGAATAAGTTTGCAATTCTAACTGCAGGATTGCAGCAACAAAGACTTTATTTTTATTACAGTTCTATAATGAAAAGTTGTATCACATTTCAGTTACATTTATCTAAATAAATGAACTGAGTACTTTATATAATGCAGTTGCCAGTTTCCTTCTTTTCATTATAATTGGAAATTCTTTTATCTGTCCAGTAATAGCTCACTTATTTGTGGCTACAGTTTTTTGTGTGCTAGCTTATTGGAGCATAGGTGGATGGAAGTGTCTATTTTAGCAGCTTTAGGAAAAATACTATGAACAAATAGCAGCAGTTGTTGGAACAGTGGATTTGGTTTGGCTGCTTACAGAAACAGACTGAATAATCAAGGATTGACGTGTGTGTCATGATGTTTAAACACTTTAAACTGCAGTAGAGTTGGAACTAATTGTAACACCATGCAGTTAATGTGCTTGTATTACACATGTATATTTGTGTTGAAAGTGGTTTCAAAAATCATTTTAAGAAGCAAAGATAGTAGTGTTCCGCTAGTGATCTTTGAACTGCTGATAAAATAATGTTATGACTTTTTTTAAAGGACTAAGAGAGAAATTCTTTCCCTTGGAATCTGCTCAACAAAGTTTGGGTAACTGTATATTGTATAATAGGGTGAAATACTTTACTCTTTTGCCCATAAGTAAAGAAAAGTGTTACCAGTGGTAATGCCAATTTGGCAGAGAAATGGAAACTTGTATTCCAAAAGCTGAAATTCTTCTGGTATACAGCACTTGATTTCATACAGTGAAGCAGACATTGAATAGGAAGCCACAATGCTCCAGTGCTGTTGTAATTTCAACTGAAAACAGACTTGTGGTTTTCTGTTTCATCTTAACTGCTTTTATTTTCTCATGTGGAAATGTGTGGCTTACTAAATGACATCCAAATAATTTCCTTGGCTTGGGGGACTGAAAACTATTTAATTACCTTTAGACCCTTAAATGTCCTAATTAACATCTGGATGTTCAAGTGCTCAGCTCTCCTATGTAGCTTAATAGGAGTACCTCAATTTTAATGCAAGTGGGACTGCATACAGTTTGTAAATTCTATGTATTTTTGGAATTTTGCTTTCAAGATAGGCTTTACTATAAAAACTTTGTAACAAATCAGACTGACACACACAAAAAAAATCTAAGATGCAAGATTTATTTCACAGTAGTATCTGACAACTATGAACGCACTATAGTGATAGTTGATGTGTAAGTCTCTGATCTGCTAACATTTTTGTAGCTTAGTGACGTATATTCCTTTTGAAATTACATCGATTGTCTTTGATATTTGAAATGCTTGAGCCTGGTTATCTGAATCTTAGACTGTTCAACTCTATAAAAATTGACCTTGCAGGTGACATGCCAGCAGTTGGTATTGGACTGATTAAAAGAATTTGTGACAGAGTTTTATCAGTATTAGAGATTAAATATGCAGGCTAGGGGAAGGACTGCTAATTTTGTCCTTTGCCTAAAGATGCTGTAGAAATACAGGATATTGACAGACTCTGCAAAATTTTCACACCGTGTTCTTAGTACTGTGGGAAGCCGAAGTTGGAAGAATCTGCATCTGATTTTGATCATCTGATACGTAGTTGACTGTGGAGCTTCGTGTGGTTTTGGTGCAACTAAGACTTTGAGATACTGGTGTTGGACTAGATGATCTTTTTGAGGTCCCTTCCAACTTTAATTTTTCAATACTTCAGCAAATGTTACAGAAATGCTCACTCAAAAGGCAAACAGGAAGAATAAGAATTCAAAGGCCTACATAGAGCTTGTGTAGCCTTCAGTAACAGAGATTGTAGATGGAAAAAATGGTTGAAAATGTGTCAAATAAAAAGGTAAATGCTAACTATTATTAAAAACAAAACAAAACAAAAAATCCACAAAACAAAAACACCAACAAAACCAAACTATATCAAGAGAGGATTTGGTATCATTTAGCCAGAACAAAATTGTCTTGAAAGGCCTTAATTACTGTAAAGCCTGAGGAGGGTCATTTGATAAAGGCACTGGAGTTTCAAAGAACTTTAAATACACAAGTGGGAATTGATCCAGTAGCCAGTGTTGTGCAGTGTCCTGTGGAAATAGCCCATCAATTATAAGTGGCTTTTCTCAACCTAGCAGCTGAATAATACCGGATTCATCTGACAGCCCAATCAGTTATGTGTGTTTCCAAATTGTAATTTTGAGAATTAAATATTGTAGGAAATGTGATCAATAAGTGCTCCTTTAAAGGGACTCTAATGGTTGAATCAGAGGCAGAGAAGTGGAAAATAACTGCTTTGAGTAGAAATACCTCTGAAATTGTCCAGTGAGAGCTAGTAATACTTCATGCAAAATGTGATTTTTTTTATTCTAAGGCATGTGGTCAATGTGGCCAAAGGTGCAAATAGTCTATAACTGAATTTAAGAATAAATAAATAACAATTTTTAGAAGTGTGGCTATGGCTCAAAATGCAAAGCTGTGCATTCTGCATAGTTAGTTTCTTTTTCCAGGTGTGGTGGTAACAACTTGTTTTCCAGCTGCCTCTGGCAGGTTCCAGGTCATATCATCAAGTACTTGTACTTGATGTCTGATCTGTTTGATGCAATAGTACCAAAAAACAAATAGTATCATCTTTATCTTGGTTATTTTCATCCTAGAGAGGGTGATGAGAATCGTGCAGATTTATCTGCATTGGGTGTTTGCAATCTCTGTGTGTCAGTGCTGGTCAGAGTTGCTGCTTGGTCATGTCGATATGCACGGGTGAAGTTGTACTTCGTCCCAGGCATTTCCAGCCATTCTGCTAACCTGCCTGCAGTGTCTGTTATCCTTTGACCTGGAGTTTCAATTCCCTCACCCAGTTCTGTACTGCCAATGACATTTGCTCCCTATGTCGCCTCTTTAAATCCCCTTTATTATGTGATACATAAATTTGGCATTTATTTACCTGCTTCTTTCTTTGGCATCTGTTTTCTCCTGTCTCTTCTTTTCCCTCTACTTCCCACACACTGGCATGCACAGATGCAGGTTTTTGTGCAGACAGCAAACCCCACTGGGTCTGGCTGCTGTCCTGGTTACACTGCTCATCCTTCCCCTCATGTTCCTCATCTGACATGATATGCAGAGCTGTTTGCTGTTGGCTCCATTTCAGAGCATGTCTCTTGTCTTTGATTTTATTTGAAATTCTTCTAATGTGTCCTGACAGCATTCCCTTATTTCTGATGATCGGAGCTTCCTGTTATCTGAAGATTAGCTCAAATCTGATCCCAGTCCTAGGCTGCTCATCTTCTCCTTGCTCCTCCTTTCATTCCAAATGTTGAACGTGCAGGTTATTCTTGAGAAATGCAACAAACTGTGTACAAGTTTAAGCTATACTTCAGCAACCAGCACTGCCCAGAGTGTGCTTGATTTGCAGGCATGGCAGAAACAGGGTCCGGATGCAATAAGACAGGCACAGATAAAGTGTTTCTACAGACCTTAAAACATATGAATTTGTTGGTAATGGAGAACTGCTAAAGCATGCTAAAAAAATCTGATTGTCTCTGATGCATATCTAGGAGGATATCAAGAAAAAATTAATACCAAGATTGGTAATTTCAGGTCAATGGTTAGATGCATGAAATAATATGAAATTATATTACAATACCTTGCTTAGGATGTGTAATTTCACATAAATACATGCATAAATAGAACAGCCTTTTTTTGGTGTCATCAATATTGAGGACCTTTAATTCACTTTGTAAATTCATTTTGTGAAACTTGCGTATAGCAAACAAATACGTGGTGGTAATAGCATGTGTTTTCCAAGAGGATGAAAGTTTGCCTGCCCCCAATCGTGGGTGGCAACTATACATTTAATGGAAAAGAGTCTTCATTTGCAAAACCAAGGAACCTGCATGGTAAATGTTAGCAGTGTCGTGGAAGTGTGTATACATGTATGTCTCCAGTGTTTAGACATGTGTGTATAAACACATGTATGCTCATACACACACCCATACTGGAGGCATACTGAAATTTTCCAGTTTACACTATGCATTACCAAAATACCATATACTTATGATACTGTTGATAAATGCATATTGTATTCACTGAATGTTTTATAGTTAAACTATTTTTTCTATAAAAATATGCTTGTAGATTTACTACTATGATTGTGATCCTATTGAATTGTTTTTAATATCCCATTATTATTTCTACACTTACTCTATGGAATGGGAAATAATTTAGAAAACATGCTGGTTTGGCTGTTTGTTGGGAGAGTATGTTTTTGTCATGCTTAATAATGAAGTCCAGGAGTTCTGAAGAGCACTGAATGTACAGGAGTTTTAACTATTGAATTAAATATTCAGCCTTTTTCACAGGGAATATTCTCAACTATCAATTATCAATCTTTATTCATGCTTAAGTAATTTATATTATACTTAGCCCAAGGTCAGAGATGTTAAGATTGACCAGTGATTCATAAAAGTTATTTTAATATTAAGATAAAACTGAAGGTTGGCCTGCCTTCTGCTTGCAAATCTGTGCCCAGAGTCTTTGTACTTGAAGAGAATAACCCCGTGCTTCTTTGATCTTCCT